TACTGTGAAAAATCCATTGCTATGGGGAATTAGAAATAAATATATGGTCCTTTTGCCTGGGGTAAGGAAGATGGTTTGAGGGATAGAATTACAAAATACTAATAATTCATAAACCATGATGAATTAGTTCCACCTTAGTTTCTATTTCCATTATGTTCAGTCCTGATGTTTCTTAACTATCTCATGTGGGAATTTGAATATTTAGTTAGTATTCAAAATATGTTTGAGCATCTACCAAGAATTAAGTGGAACTTCATAAAATCTCAATTCTAATTTTTTAAAAAAGTGATAAAGCTATCCACCTTTGAAATAGATGCTGAGGAAACTATGAAAAGTGCCTAGACATATTAATAATTATTAGTATTTAATACATTTACATGTTTTTTAGGCTGATATATTATTTTAAAATCATTACTGTGTATAATATTTTATCTGTTCACATTACTTTAATATGTAGAAATAATATAGTAAATAATAATAGGATTGATTTTTTTTATTTTCAAATACTGTTGACATACAATATATTAGTTTCAGGTGCACAATGATTAGATTAGACATTTCTATGCCTTAGAGTAGGATTGACCTTGAAGTTCACCTTCCTTTTAGTACATTGGAAATCCAACAGAGTACAAGGTTTGGCATGCAGTTGGTTGCTTAATATATTTTTTTAAAATGAATGAACAAAAATAATAATGTAATTTTTAGGATAAACGATGTGTTCCAAGTAATGAAGGATATTTAAACATTGGGAGCATAAATATTTGTGTACAAATCATTTTATATTTTATCAAATTGGAGAAATATTGCAAAGTGATAGGTAAATGTTCAAATGAGAGCAGTTAATACGTGAGGGAGTATATGATTTTCACTTCATTATCAACAGGCAATTGGAAGATCTTCACATAGACCAAAAACAAAGCTAACTTATAGGTTCCTTTTATTGTGTTACCATTAGCAAGCCTAAGGAATATTTCTAAAGATAGTGAGAATGTTCTTAGGTCTCTTAGGTCTCTTTTGTTACATTTCATTTATTAAACTATTGCATAAAAGTGACCAGTAAAAAAAAATGAATGTTGCTGTTCTTTTGGTAATTGAAGGTAGAGTTTTTATTATCTCAATTCATTAACAAATGGGAAAATAATGCTGTTTTTCTTTCCTCAGCCTCATGGAATGACTCAGATATTGCTCTCTTATTCTGCTCTATTCCATCTCAAAATCCTTAGAGCGTATATAATCTAATTTTATTTTTCACCAAAAACTACTATTTTTGTGGAATGGCATACTTCCAAATGAACCTTGAGATAAAGATGTTAATGTTTTTCCTTTGTGAAAGAGGAACTATGGCTGTAGGATATCAGGCATCTTGAAAGAAGATGCTAAATGCACATTAGCATCTTTCAAAGAAATTTCATGCAGAGGAGGGAATAGAAAAAAAAAATCAGTTGAAGACTTAAAAAAAAGAGAGAGAAAATGAACATAGAAAAACTGAGACAAATAGATAAAATAAGGTGGTAGACATCCAAAAACATCAATCATAGCAATGGACTAATTCTTCCTTTTAAAAAATAATGATTTTCAAACTGAATTTACTTATACCCTCATGCATACACACATATTCTTTTTCTGTGGTGTATCTAAAACAAGGATACATAAAAGTTAGAAGTAAAGGATGGAAATTGAGTTCCATGCAATATACAACCAAAAGAAAGCTACACCGACTGTATTAATATCAGACAAAACAGACTTTAAGGCAAAAGGCATTCCTAGGGAGATAAAGATAAAGAAGGCTACTGCCGAATGATGAAAGGTTCAGTTCACCAGAAAGAGGAAACAGTTCTGAACTTGTATGCACATGATAATACTGCATAACTTTAAAATACTTAAAGCAGAAATGACCAAATTACAAAGAAAAATAAATCCACCTAGTTGGAAATTTTAACAGACCTCTCTTGGTAATGAACAATTCAAATAGACACCCTCCCCCTGCCAAAATTAGAATATATATATACAATTTCTAAAAAAACATGAGTTCAATATGCTAGATATATTTACCCAACAACTGTAAAAGCAAATATTTTTAAGCACACATAGAAGATTTATGAAAATTGATGACATATTGAATGTAAAGCAAATTTCAAAAATGTCGAAGGATTGGTATCACTATGTATAAACTCTGATCATAGTGAAAATAAATTAGACATTAAAGAGATGACAAAAATCCAATCTATCTGAAATTTAAGAAACATAAACAATTCATGAGACAGGAAATTATAATGGAAATTAGTATTTAGAATCAAATGATAATGAAAATATATATCAACACTTGTGGGGGACAGCTAAAATAACACTTAGAAATTCTATTCTTTAAATGCTTATATTAAAAAGAAGAAAAGCTAAAATGTTAATAAACTAGGTGACCATCCTAAAGAGATAGAAAAAGTTTGAAGAGAAGAATAAAGGTGAAAGCAGCAATTAATGAGAAAGGGAATGAATATACATAGAGAGCCAATCATGTCAAAAAGTGATTTTCAGAAGAGAAAGCAGCACATCTCTCCACTTATTTGGGTCTTTAATTTCTCTCAGCTATGTTTTATAGTTTTCCATTCACAGGGGAAAGGGTAATTTCATCAATTGGTGCTAGAACAAAGAGATAACCAACTGTATGGGGGCGGGGAGGGGGGAGAACTTCGACCCCTTGTCTCTTACCATAGACAAAAATTAACTTGAAGACCTAAATATAAAAACTAAGTTATAAAACATGTAGAAGAAAACATAAGAGAAAATCTTAATGACATTGGGTATGGTGGAGATTTAAATATGACCAAAACAAAAAAGTATTTTTTAAAAGTCAACAAATTGGACTTCCATCAATAAAACCTTTCACTTTTCAAAAGACATGTTTCGAAATGAAAAAGGGAAGCAAGGACAATATTTGCAAAACATAGATTTGTCAAAGTACTTATATCTAGAATACGTAATTCTTACAACTTAAGAAGACAGCCCAAGTTAAAAATGGGAAAAGATTTGAGCAGACGTTTAACCCAAGAAGTTATAGGGATGGCACATAAGCCAGTGAAAGATACTTAATATCAGTAGTTACTAGGGAAATTCGAATTAAAGCTAGTGAGATAAAACCGCACACACAGTAGAATGGCTAAAACTTAAAAGACTGACCATACCAAGTGTTGACAAGAATGTCGAGTACCTGGAACTGTCATACACTGTTGGTAGAAATGCAAAATGGTACAACCACTTGGGAAAACAGTTTAGTAGTTTCTGAAAAGTTGATCATATACCTGTCATACAACTTGGCCATTCCACTCTCAGGTATTTACCCAAAAGAAATAAAATTATATATTCACACAAAACCTATGCATGAATGTTCATAGCAGCTTCATTTTTAATAGTTCAAAACTAGAAACAAATCAAATGTCCTTCAGCAGGTAAATGGATAAACATCCATACAGTGGGATCTGTCTGACAATAAAAAGGAACATAAAAGACAATATAGTAACTTGGACATATCTCAGAATAATTATGTTCAGTGAAAGAAGCCGATCTCCAAAGAGTACATTTGTATATAATTCTAGAAATTACAACTAGTCTAGCGTGATAGAAAAAAGATCATGGGCATGGGAGGAGCTTCATACATAAACATCTGTTTTGTGTTGAGTAAAGACTGAAATGTGGATGGTAAAACCATAAAACTTTAAGAAAGCAATATAGGAGAACGTCGTTATAATCTCAGTATAGAAGGATTTCTTAAGACAACACAAAATGATAAATTTAGTAATGTTCAAATTTAAAACTTAAACCTTTCTCAAAAAAAAAAAAAAACCACAATGAGAAGAACTGGGGGAAAGTATTTATGGAACATATAATTGACGAAGAATTGGTGTCCCTGTAGAACTCCAACTCAATAAAAAAAGACAACCCAATAGAAAAATGGGCAAAATGTATGAACAGGCATATCATATTAAGAAGAACCCCAAATGGCCAATAAACATGAAAAGAGGCTCAACCTCATTATTATTCAGAGAAATGTGAGTTATAGCTGAAGTTAGATCCCATTTTGTATCCGCCACCTCACATTGATAAAAATGTAAAGGTCTATATTAAGTGTTGGCAAAGATGTGAAGCAACCAGAACACACAACTCAACTTACGGAGAGTAAGTTGGTGTAAACACTTCAGAAGACTATTTGGCATTACCTATGAAAGTTAAAGGTGTGCCAACTCTAAGGCTCAGGATTTCCACTTGTAGTGTGTGCACTAGAGAGAAGCTCATGCATATGGGCACTGAGAACGTTCATAGCAGCACTGTGGTAGCGAAACACTAGAGGGAGCCCACGTTCCAACAGCGCTGGGTAAATTATGGTGCGGCTATACAATGCAATACTATGCAGCGGTGAAAAAGAATGACTTACAGTTACACACAGCAACAAAGAACAGCTTAGAAACAAATTGTAAAAAAAAAAAAAAAAAACCCAAGTTATTGAAGAATACATACGGCATGATTAAATTTTAGGGCTACAAATAAATTTAAAACCATAAAGAAAAGCAAGGAAACAGTAAGCACAAAATTCTAGAAACGATTGCTTCGAAGGAGGAAAACAATGGGATATAGGAAGGAAGAGCTGGCACACTGGGGACTTCAAAACAGTAGTAGTGTTCTTGTTCTGTAATTGGACGTGTTTGTGTCATTTTTCATACCTTACATTTATTTTATAGTACTTTATGTTATTTAAATCTATACAATATTGTTAATTGTTTTTAAAATAGGTGCAAATTGCAGAATTTAGCATATGAATAATGGGATACCTGTTCTTGTACACCTGCAAGAAAAGTAAGCTTTTTGGGGGGGGTTGGGGGGAGGTGGGGGAAGCTAATCATAATGAGTTCTATCCCATTGCTTATATTTAATGATTAAATTTCCTTTTGTTAAAGATTTTTATTTTTTTTCTTCCATGCTCTCTGCCCTTCCTGCTCTTCAATTTGTAGGAGAGATTTCAAGCACTTTTCACCATCTATGATGACCAGGTTACATTTCAGTTGTTTAAAAGCTTTAGAAGAGTCAGGATAAATTTCAGCAAACCTGAAGCAGCAGCAAGAGCTCGAATAGAACTCCACGAAACAGACTTCAACGGGAAGAAGCTGAAGCTGTATTTTGCACAGGTACTTCATAGTGCAAAGGACACAGTCCTCTAAACTTGTTCGCCATTCAAAAATATTATCAGTTCTCCATTTTCTGTATTCTATCAGCAGTCCTTGAAGTAAACAGTCTCAATCAGCAAAGAATGTAAAAATATTTGTTACCTTTATTTTACAGTTATATAAATTTATTTATTAAACATATTTACCCTCCTAACTTTGTTTTGTATTACTAATACTTAAAGGAATTTTATTTTTCTGGCAGCTTTTCCTTGGCTGGAGTTTCATGAAGGTTAAGCCCTAACAGCTTAAGATCAGTGAATTCTCTCTTAACATCTAGAATGGCACTTGTGATATAACATCCTTGGGAGAATTGAGAACATAGTCTCTGAAATCATTTCTGTGTTCTGCAGTTCATTGAAAGTGGCTGCTGACCTAAGGAGTGACCAGGGAGGTAGCATAGCACTGTACCAAAATGTTGTCTTAGACTTTGACGTTGCAGAGGATCCTGCGGGTTACCAACAGTTAGCTACACTTATTCTATTTGTTGATGTGGTGATGCTGAGAAACCAATTTCTTCTCGAAAGAATTGGTGAAATGAAAGCATTAGATCCCTACTTATGTATTAAATGCACTGTGTTATTTTCAACAAAGTATTTTTTTTCCTGGTCTTAGTTTTGAATTAAAAAAAAAAAAAACAGTTTGTTGTCACATTCCAAATAAAAACCTAAGTGAAAGATGTTCGGACATTTCTTGGCGTAGTTGATTGACATGGAGATGATATAACCTAATCTCTTCTAAAATTGGAATTTAGTGCTTACTGCCTGCCATTCATTGTTCTTCTCTTCATTGATTTATTTTTTTATTTAACTATTATTTATTGAGCACCTAATCAGTGTGGGCGCCGTGCTGTGCACCAAGTGTTCAGTGATGAATCAAACAGACCCCGACCGCTGGGAGACGTAGATTGTTAAAGAGAAATTTTCCATTTTCTCCAAAGAGATGTAACAGTTAACATGAAGATGAAAATGCATAAATGGCCCAGTCGCAAACTTAGAGTTATCTCCTTCCCTGCAGGTACAGATGTCCGGTGAAACACAGGACAAATCATATCTACTGCCTCCCCAGCCGGTCAAACAGTTCCTCATCTCCCCTCCAGCCTCTCCTCCGGTGGGGTGGAAGCAGGGTGAAGATGCCATGCCTGTTATAAATTATGATTTACTCTGTGCTGTTTCCAAATTGGGACCAGGTAATGAACATCCATCTTTTCTGTGTTTTTCCCAAGAAACTTTTGTATTAAAGACCGCATTCAGCAATTTGTGTTTTAGCCATCTAGTGGCAACGTGATCAGCGTGGAGGATAAAGTCACACAAACCTGGGTTCAAATTCTAGCGTTTGCTAATTTTGCAATCTTGAGCAAGTTATTTAGCGTCAATCTTCTCAGCCTCTGTTTTCTCATCTATGAAAAAGAGATCATAATAGCTACCTTTCACTGTGGTTATAGGATTAAACGGTACATGCTTAGTAGTCAATAAATGTAACTGCAGTTTTTACTACTACTAATTCTAATATATAACAGACCATTAGTGAATATTAGGTGTCTTCTCCCCCAACCCATCGAAGTACCAGACACCTTCTACATTGAATAATATTTCAAGGATTTGATGGTGATTTTTTTCATTTCTTCTTTTCCTTCTTTTATTTCTCTCATCTCTTTAAAATAATGGAAATTGATGCCATTCATTGCTGGTACAGACTAGTTGTCCACCTAAGACACTGTTAAGTCTGTCCTGGGAGATAGGAGTCGTTTCGAGGGGCAGTAGCTTGGTGTTGTTTTAGATGTTAGAGCTGGATCTTGGATGCCCAAGGCTCTGTAATGAAGACATTGCCACTGCTGCCCGAAACAGTCCAAGTGTCTCCCAGGGGAAAACCGAAACCATTCTGAAGTTAAGTAGATTCACTTGTACTGTGCATAGAACAGTAATTAGCATTAGCATTTTTATTGCCAAGATCTCAGTGCTCCTCACCGGCTTATTGCTTGAAATAGCAAAACTGCCTAAGAACCTTACAGTATCAAAGCTCTAATGCCAAAACAAGACAGAGTACTCTGACAGAGGATTTAAAGATTTAAAAACCAATAATCAGCAATTAAAATATGAATAGAAGAAAAAATTTCAAGAGACAAAACACCTTTCTTTTGCTGTTTACCTCCCCAGGAGAGAAATATGAACTTCATGCAGGAACTGAGTCGACACCAAGCGTGGTGGTTCACGTCTGTGAAAGTGAAACGGAAGAGGAAGAAGAAACAAAAAACCCCAAACAGAAAATCACCCAGACGAGGCGCCCTGAACCTCCCACCGCAGCGCTGAGCGAGCCCCAGAACTTCGACCGTGCGCTGTGAGGCCACTAGCTGTGGTGCCAGGCAGCTGTCATCAGGGGCCTCAGCCATGGAGATCTGTGCCCCTCCTGCTGGTACATTGCTGCTAATAGCATAGGTCAAGTGAGGAGTGAAGGGCGGGCGTGTTCACCAAGCCCACCCCGTGGACGTGGTAGCACGGAGTACAGGCTGGTTTTACCTGTTCACAATTGTAACCGATGTTCTGAACAGCACTTTAAAGGATTAGCCCCCAACACGTGGCATCTCTTGACCATTTTTAAACAGTAGCAAATTAGGAACAGTCTCCCTCCAGCAATGTTTATTTCCCTGATTCCGTGTAGCATGGGGTACCCAAAAACTAAAACTGTAGTCACCGAGTGCAGTACCATTTTTATGAATTTAAAAGTAGTCTGAAAATTGTAATCTAGTGTGGATACTTTTGTACTGGTACAATAGCTTCTGACTAATCTCTTGGTCGAAGGTTAATTGTTACTCAGTATACGTGAAATTTTTTTGCACGAAAAGAAACCTGAAATATAGAATAATTCATAGAAAATCTGTTCTCTCAAGTATTTTTTCTTTAGCTTTGGGGAAGGAATGCCAAATTCACTTTGACTATCAGAATCAAATGGCACAAATATATGTGCACGTTGGTCTCTTACTTGGAAGTCAGAGGAGAGTGATGCACACACCACTGTCCTGGTGTGTCATCTCTCCGAGAGGAAAAGCTGCTGCTTTGGAAGGGGGACATATCGCCAGTGAGCTTGACTGATTCTGACTCAGGTGGCTACTGTCATCAGCCACTTGTGACCATGTTCTAGCTTATAGCATACCAAACCGTCTTCGGCCACCAGTCGATTTTTTCTATGCTATACTATATTTGCGTGCGTCATTCATAGAGTTTATATTAAAAAAGATAATGCCGAGATTTTCTGAAGACCATTTTAAAAATCGTCCATTTATATTCAGCCTGC